TAAAATAAATTCATACCGTATTCCCGCGCAACCACCGGCATGCCGTTATAAGTGAGGCTGATCATTTTTACAAAAATGGCTTTATGATACCCTACCGGCATGCCGGTATAAAGTGAGGCACATATTTATGAATTGTTATGCATAAGGTTGAAATAAAGCGATATTAGTACTAATTTTACTTATAATTATATATTTTTCTAGTATAAACCTATTTATACAGTAAAAAGTTAAAATTAATAGGAAATTTGGTTTAAATATATTTTTAACGCATTTATATAACAAAATATTAATAATTTTAAAAATATTAAAAACATATTTAGACCTCACTTATTACGGCATGCCGTTATACCCCGGGATATAACGGCAGTCTCATCAATCTCACTTTACACCGGCTTGCCGGTGGTTGCGCGGGAATACGGTATAATATTCATTGAAATGAAAGAAAAAGTGAACAAAATTTGCGAGATTTGCAGCGATAAAGGAATCGGTAAATAAATATTTAAAATATAATTAACATTGAAAAGTTATAAATAATTGAGTATATGTCTTTTATAATTGTGACCACAAATTATGATCATTTTTAGGCCGACACTTCGGTGCCATTACCTGTGAATCGTGTAAAGCATTCTTCAGGAGGAATGCCAACAAAGATAAGGTAATAGAAAAAGTGAATCAAAATTTATTTTATCATAATTAAGGAATAATTGGCTATAATTGATGAAAATTTCTGTCCATAGCTATTGGAGTGCCCTTCGGATGGAAAGTGCAAAATCAATGCAAACACTAGAAAGTTGTGTCAAAAATGTAGACTTAATAAGTGTTTGGCTGTGGGTATGAAAAAAGTAAGTTATTGTTTAACACTACATAAGTAAGTATTTTACTAAATATAGTAAATATAGTAACAACCTTGATAAACTATTAAAATAAACGCTTGATTTGTTGTGTCACAGAAAGTGTCGACAATTTAATTTGAATAATAGTTTCCAAATAATGCGAATAAAATGAATCGCCTTTAGATTTAAATGTTTTAAATGTGGACTCAAATTGTGAATCAAATTCTAATGAATTCTTATCGATAGACCACTCGTTATATTTCGCTAACACATCCCTACAATCTGGTCGAGTCCAATGAGAGTATGTTAGCATTGATAGCAATATTGCTTTCAAGCTATGTACAGGGTTGTTTAAAGTGGGATTCAATGTTGAATATGATTGAGAACTAAAATTTAAATTAATACAGTATATAGAATTTTATAAATCATTATAGAGGGAAACATACGTGGTCAGTTTGGATAAATCAAAATCAAATAGCTTTTCGCCGATTACCGAAAGACTATAGACATCGCATTTATGGTCATATGGTTTACCCATTAAAACTTCGGGTGCTATAAATCCAAAGGTTCCCACATTTGATGTGTGTTTCTTAGACGCCAAATTCATACTTTGTTGGTGAAATACAGCTAAACCAAAGTCACATAACTTAACAAATCTACCATTCCGTCCGTTCCTATCAATCAATATATTGTCGGGTTTGAGATCTCTGTGGATGATCTGTGGATTCAATTCATGCAAATACTGAACACATTCTAAGATATCTCGGAATATTTCACAAGAGAAGAAATACTCGTAACAATTCATGGGTTCTCCTGATTGTCGACCAAATTCTTGTGGTTTGTGTTGAAGAAAATTTTGTAGACTCTCTGAACACAACTGCATTTGTATGTAATAGTGATCACCTTCAGGCCATGAGTTATAATATTTGACACAATATTGGGGATCAACCTTGGCTAAATTATTAATTTCATTAAATGTCCTTGCTAATTCTTTTGCTGTGAAATCTATAAATATATTTTTAAATTATATATCAAATAAATTAATTAAATAATTGAATTTTTACCTTTTAAGTTAATAATTTTAATAGCATATAATAGTTTATCATGTTTGTTTTGACATTGATAAATTGATCCAAATGCTCCTGAACCTATTTTATTTAATTCAATGAATGTAGTTTTATAATCTATAAGATTTATTCTTTCATAAGTCAGTTGATATTTTTTGCAATAAAAATCAATTATATTTTCATGTTTTGTTTCAATCAATTGATTTGTTTCATTGAAACTTAATATCTTTTTTCCATTTGAGAGTATTATTGAATCCAAAAAATTATATTTATATATGTCTTGAAATATATGTTTTGTCTCATATTTTTTAATTTCGGTTCCATTTTGATAAATATATGTCCCAGATTTATTTAATTTATATCGTATTTCACAATAATATATTGACCCAAATTCCGTCAAAAAGCAAAACTTTTCACAAATTGTTTTTGATTTTTCATTTTCCCACCAATCGGATGTTGACATCAATTTAATATTGTTTAATTCATGAACTAATTCTGGTTTACTAACTAACCCTGGACTATTTTGTAGTTCTTCATTATTGTTAAATAAACCCCAACTTAATACCAATCCATTGAAAGTGATTGCAAATGATGAAAACTGCCCACAAATAATACTTTTTATTTTATAATTATTATTAAATGCCAACAAAGATGGTTCACATATTTTGTCATTAGTTGTGTCACAACCTAACTGTCCCTCACTATTACGGCCCCACCCGTACACTTGTCCATCGGCTGTGAGGGCCAGACTGTGCTGTCCACCACAACTGATTTGTTGAATACTTTTGTTATTAAAAAATCTTATTTCCTTTGGTTTTAAAAACATACCAAAAGGTCCCACATCTCTAGCCAACTGTCCCCTATTATTGTGTCCAAAACTGTACACAAACTTTGAAGCACTTATAAGTATCATGAAGTCATCGCCGGCATAAAAGTGTTGAATCTTTTTGTGACACAATTCAGGCAAAATTTGCGGTGAATCGATGGAATTATGTACTGAACCTGGTACATTTTCCCGGTAATTAGTGCCCAAACCATACACAATGTCCTCATTTGTAATGAATATTATGTTTCTGTTTTTAGTGCAGTAAACATGAAATAAAACAATAGTTTCTTTAATACTATCGGGAATTTTATTACAAATACTAAATTTATTAATAATAGATGACATATTAACAAAAAATAATCACTTGCTTTAATTTAGGTTTTTTTAAAAAAATACGTTTGTTTTCAAATAGCAATTAACAATAATATATAACGGGTTTAGACCCTTTATACAATATTTTTAAATGAATACACAATGTGATATTATAAATAAACTTATATTTAGTATATGATTCATCATATTTATTGTTTTTTGTCTACAATAATATTTATTGTTTTTTGTCTACAATAATATTTATTATGTTTTTTGTCTACAATAATATTTATTATGTTTTTTGTTTACAATAATATTTATTATGTTTTTTGTCTACAACTCCAAAATAACTGATATAAATTTATTGTCTCACCAAAGCCTAACATAACAGGGTTTTGCTGAACTGGCCCTTATTTCGTGGTCCTTGCCCCACCACTACAGGAAAGCCAACCTAACCAAACTTAACTTAATTAGACTAGAAGTTGGTTTGTTTCACTGCAAGACTAGGTTGGCTTCACTGCAATGCCTGTTAAGTATGATAGGTTAGGTTAGGTTGGCTTCCCTGTAATAGTGGGCCAATGGGCTAAGGGCCACGAAATAGAGGTCAGTTCAGCAATACCCAACATAATATAAATGTGCGTTCATCTAAATTTGATACGGTTAACCGTAATTGTGATTAATAAATAGGTTGAAGCTAATGAACTTTATTAAAAATAATTAATTGAATGCACAGAAAGTTTGGAAAGTTTTGATTCATTTTTTGATATAAAATCTACGAATCTTTTAAAAATAATATGTCCAGTGTGAAATGTAAAAGTTAATTATTTTTAAATGAGAAAACAGATTTTATAAAAAACATATTTTAAATTAAGTTATAATGGTTATTAATTTACACAGTTACAAGTTACTCAAAAACTAAAGTTTACTAAACCATTGAAATATATTTGATTTCCTTTTAAATTGTTTATTTAATAAAACACTCAAAATGATTTCAATATTTTTACTAACCCCCCCCCACAATCGGATCGACACTTCAATAGTAGATATCTTTGCAGTAAATAAATATACAATTGCTGTTCCAGTCTATCACCATATAAATTGAAAACATAGTTATAAGAAATTAATTATAGAAATTATAAA